TATCATCAGTCAAGTAATCCCCAATGTCAGCCCAGGCCCGGGAGTTTTGCACGCTCGCGAATCATCTCATGACTAAGTGCAGACGTGATGTAAATAAGAGATTTATTGTGCAGTTTAGAGAGCTTGATTATAACGGAACTTTGTGAGATCGCGATGAGTGATTCTTTTAGTGATAATAAAGGGAGAGCGCTTTGTGTGTTTTCTAGGCTACAATCCATTCAGAATTTGAATGAAACTTTCATTTTTCGGACACATACATGCTGCAAAGTTTCAGGAATGATGCTGGATTCATTCTCGAAATATCAGCAATAAGCAACGGATGGGACAAAAATCCCTAGGTGATTTACTCTGGACTCTTACTTAGGAGCCAAACTTCCACAGATAGCATGCGTCCTGAGCGAGATTCAGTTCACGGATTAAAAGCATGTGTAAATCATAGACTGTAAAAAAACATGGACGTAGTGTCCGTGACGTCACCCGTAGGTTTCTGAAGAGCGTTTCTGAAGCTCAAAGTGGGCGGAGCCGGCATTCGCCATCTTGGCAGTGCGTCACTCCCGGATAATTGAAAATGGGCAAAGAGGCGGGAGCTGGTTGCTGAAACCACGCCCACCTGTCACTCAAGTGGCCACGCCCTTAATTATGCAGAACTTTAATGCTTAATATAATTTAAACGGATGAGTTATAAAAAAATCCACCCCCCTCACAGTTGTCATGAAGGGCAAAATTAGCTATATAGACCAAAACCACTTTTTGTACCAGGCTGTAAACATATTTTTTTCTGCTGTAAAGTTCGGCATTTTAACATGGGGAGTCTATGGGACTGACTCCCTTTTGGAGCCAGTTGATGAATTGCAGTTTTAGTCACTTCCGTGTTAGTTTCATGAGAGAGACCAGAAGGTTGCCGCTTGGTGTAAACTTATCGAGATCGGGACATATCAACCAGTAATTTCATTCCTAGTAACGGACGGTAGAAAGTTCAGAAATGAATGGTATGCGATTTATGACAGAATAGTCGCACAACTGATCGTTTATTTTTTCCTCACGTGTCTCACCACAATGATTCAAAACTGACACATTTCAAGTGACACGGGAAAAAGACACGGAAAACTTAAATGAAAATCAGAAAAGCAACTCGCGCATTTCCGGTTAAATGAAAGGCCATCAATTACTGACACTTAAAACGGGAAGCATCGCCATTCAAATCAGCAGCAAGAGTCAAAGTTCCACAGTTTAGTAAACGCAGGCAATCTCTTTAAGTTATTCTTCACTGCGCTGTATTAACACAATGCGTTGCAATGTGGTAGCGCATTGTTTTGATGCATAGGCTACATCCCTAAAAGATTTCTTTCTTTTGTGCTTTTTTTCCTTGCCCCCCTGACTTTAGAGTCAAATGTCGCCCATGTATATACATATATATATTAATCTATCTGTAAATTCATATTATTATAAAATAAATCATTTTGCATAATATTTTAATATACAGTATGTTTTATATATATATATATATATATTTATATGTAGTAGTTTTAACAATATGTAAAACCTATATAAATCTATATTATTTTTTATAAATGATATATATATATATATATATATATCAAATATATAATATCTAAAAAAAATTATTTTATAGAACAATTATATCAATCCATCCTCTGTAGGGTCATAGGAAATATATAAAATATTTTTATAATACTAATACTACTAATAATAACAAAATAAAAAGAATATAATTTAATTTAATTACATAATGTATATTTAAATTTTTATCATATATTATATATACAAAATAATATAATAATATAATAAATAATAATATTATACTATATATCCTACAATTATAATAATAAATGCTACATATCATCAACAATAACAAGTTAAAGCCCTGGGGTCTCTAAAATTTCATATAATTAGCAGTGGTGTATTTCTGATTTCCTCAACAGATTCTAAAATGTTTCGAATCAGCAAGAATAGAAACTGAAAACATTATACTGCATTGCTTGGCACCATTGTGTCGTTTCCAATAAGAGAAGTGGAAGCACACACAGATATGAATTCAGCAGGTGTAAGAGACCCAGCTAAGTAGTTAAAATCATGCTGACAGTGCTGTTCTCTGTCTTTCCCTCCCTCTCGCTCTCTTTCATTTATATATCTCTGTCACATATTCACAATCTACAATTCTTCCTCATCTAAATAATGCCCCTGTGGCGGTGAAACAACCCTCCTTGGTTGTGTTCTAAGTCACTGATCTTTATTGAAATTCATTATAGTGACTATAGCCCTGGAATCTGACTAAATCCGAAATCCCCCGGAGAGTCGATGCTTTATGGAGAAAGTTCCCTATTTTTACAGTATTTTTTTGCAGGATATCGTTTGTTGTGGAACCTGGTTGTGTAATACACTAGGAATAAGAACAGGAATAAAAAAAACAAAAAACAGACTGGATTGCCTCGAGCAGCCCAACTGTTCAAAAATTCATATTTCGGGCCTCAGCACAAAATAATGAAGAGGTTTTATGCAATACAATGACGGTTTTATGGGCTGCAATAAGTTGACAGTGTATTACTGTGAAACACTGAGATCAATTGTGACGGGAAGATGGGAAAGCGCAAGCCAAGCGCAGAAATCTTCATAAAGGAAGAAATGTCTTTTAACTCACATTTTCACCATGAATTAAACAACTGAAGTGTGCAGAGCCTTTGTACAGAAGATGGGAATAAGGATGAATGATATAGCTATACAAATTCAATGCTTATATTTTCCAATCTTTTGGCATCTCAGTATTTATGTTTGCTCTTAAATGGTTTAAAATATTTATAACAGCCGTAGTTGTATATATATATTAAAATGAATCAATGCATGTTTTCTACACTGTTTTCATTAAATTAACTAAAGGATAAATCATATTAAGATTAATATCTACATTTTAATTCACATTTTTGTGTAGTGACACCATTAAATGTTTTGCTTCATGAAGTCATCAATCGATTATGTTATGAATAGATTCATTGGAATGGACAATTTGAACTGATTCACATAAATGAACCAAAGTATCCAACAACTTTTTTAAAATGAGGGTTAAATTAGAAAAAAAAAAAATCTCAAACAATTTTAATTTTTTTGTAACTTTTTTTTTCACTAAACAAACTGAAGGAAGAATCATATTCAAATGAATATGTCAATTGTAATTAACACCTTTGTGTAGTGACAAAACTATTTTGTTTCAGAGTAATGAATCTTTTTGATTTGACTCTTTGCAAAGTCCAGCCCCCCAAGCCATGGCGCTCTCACACCACACATCATGTTCTCACGCAGTGAAAAATACATTGCAGAGCAAAGAGGACACTGACAACACGCTGACAAAAACAGCGATCTGTCTCGACACATTAAAGAGCCACAAAACGGTATTGTTTGAATTTCTTACAAAATTACCAAATTTGAAAGCCGAGACTTAGTTTCATACCTGTAACATACGAGTAACCTGCTCTGTCTTTTTTTGTCAGCGTGTTGTCAGTGTCCTCTTTGCTCTGCAATGTATTTTTCACTGCGTGAGAACATGATGTGTGGTGTGAGAGCGCCATGGCTTGGGGGGCTGGACTTTGCAAAGAGTCAAATCAAAAAGATTCATTACTCTGAAACAAAATAGTTTTGTCACTACACAAAGGTGTTAATTACAATTGACATATTCATTTGAATATGATTCTTCCTTCAGTTTGTTTAGTGAAAAAAAAAGTTACAAAAAATTAAAATTGTATGAGATTTTTTTTTTCTAATTTAACCCTCATTTTAAAAAAGTTGTTGGATACTTTGGTTCATTTATGTGAATCAGTTCAAATTGTCCATTCCAATGAATCTATTCATAACATAATCGATTGATGACTTCATGAAGCAAAACATTTAATGGTGTCACTACACAAAAATGTGAATTAAAATGTAGATATTAATCTTAATATGATTTATCCTTTAGTT